TGCAATGATATGTGTTTTGGGAAATATTACATAACAAGGGAGGTTACTCTGAATGTCCGAAAGGACCGAAACGAGAAAAGGTATTTCTAATTCGATGTTTATGTTGATATTCTGTTCGAATCTGGGAAAACGTGTAGAGTTCTGACTAGCCAACCAATAAACGTCATTACCATGGAGATAACTGACCGATTGTATGTACAAGTACTGAAGGTGATATAAACTCATCAAAGCGCAATAAAATCACCCTGTCAGGCAACTTTAGAACCGGTTTAGCCGAGGTCACCATAAACATGATTTATTACGGACGTTTCAGTGTGACCCTGGTAAGATGATGAGAATATATAAGTCAGGAGTATTAATCTGTAACATTCAGATAAGAGTTTCATGTTTTCTTATATAAGATATCTTATTAACTGTTCTGTATCCCTTAAGCTGTGAAGTTGTGTCAGATAGGTCTCTCCATACACGTATTTTGAGGGCTATTTTAATGTTTTTAAATTCTCAGATATGAAATATTTCGAATTTTAACTTAACGTGATGAAGACGATAATTTTCCATACATAACACACGCCTATATTTTTTGAGAAAATAACAAAAATATGTATTTTAAAGTTAAAAAATGAAATAGGAATCTACGAGTTTGGAAAGGAAATTTCAGTCAGAAGAAAACAATCATGATTTACATTTTGATGCATATTTTCACATAAGCCATGTTTTGTATCAATTTACATCTGAGCTAAATTCTACTTGGTATGTAATATTAATGACAGACAGACAGTGTATTCAGTAAGGAGGCCACTGTCCCATAATACATACAGATAATAGGTTTTTTTTCTATCTTTCCATGCGCATGTTTTAAGAAGGTATACATAGCACTCATTTGTTTCTAGAATTTACAATATTGTTAACATGGTACAAAAACAAGCCGATGTTGTACATAAGATCAAAACTTTCATTTTGAAACAGATTTATCATAGTATGTACAGTGTAGGGCTCTTGTATATATTTAGCAATGTATTTGACTCTTAAATCTTTATAACAACCACACACAAGTATGACATGCCATTCATTTTCAATATAATCCAGACCTTTTGATTTGCAGTACATACAAACTCTTTCTCTTAGTTCAATATTGCCATATCTTCCAGTTTCTACTGCTATCTTAAAGTTGCTTCATCTAAATCTTGATAAAGACATCCTCAGATACACTGGAACGTCAGAACACAAGTATTTTTCAACATTCAACAAAGACTTATATTGCTTATAATAAAAGCATTTTAAAGAACCCTGTATTGATGAATACCATGCCTGTTGTAGATTATCCTTTAGTCTTTGTTTAAAAAGAGATATGAACACACCAACATTTCCAATTACTTATTAAAACCAAGCATAACCAAAGCCATACCTGAGTAATATTTGTTTAACCTTTGAAACCCATGTGGTGCGTCCAGCTTTATCTAAAGATCTTAACATAATGCAACACTGACGAGGCAACCTATTTTCAGGTAAATGTATGAGACGTCATAATATTAATTTCAGCAGTTATTGTTGAAAATATGCCAGAAAAACAAAGACAGTCAAGAAATAAACCCTTTCTTATAAGTGTAGTGTACTGACTATTAACACCAGCGTTGCAAACTCCCGCCTGCCCGACCGCCCGGGACGGACTGTTATGCGACCGGACGGTCAGTTTTAAAAAGTTGCACGCCCGATGGTCTGGCTGTTCAATCAGTGTAAGTTTGTAATGTATATAATGAATAAAGCCTTGACTGATAACCATTTGAAAACATGTGTTATTGTGACAGTAACCTGACATTAAACAGTTCCTTCTTATTAATGTACCTTCTTTTTATTTTTCTTAATGCAGAAAATTCTGGACTGGCAACTTTCCAGCCAGTCTTGTGATTTTCGAGAGTTACCAGACCAGTTGTCTGGCTGAAATTTTGGGGAGTTTACAACACTGTTAACACTCAATCAAATTGTAACATTTGAATTAAAAATTATTATCATAATAAACACATATAATCCTTTTACAGTGCATGTTATCCAAAGAATCCACATTTTAACTTTAGCTAGGATACATTTACTAAAGGGTAACGTTTTGCACATATGTAAATACTTTCTAGTATAGTAATAGCCAGAGACCATATATGGTCTCTGTAGTAGCTAACACATTTTATGAAATATGTTAACTGGATATAAATATTTTAAAACAAGATCTTAAGAAATCAAGTCCTGCTTATTTACATTTCTCAAATTACAAACCTGAGGAAATGTAACTTGTAAGATGTAGTAACCTGTAATGTTATGTTTGCTTCCCGTCACATCTTCCAAAATGAAAATTGTCCCCAAAATACTAGATAGTGATCCCATTACCCAGGGTTTTATTTCGAGTCCTGTATTTTAGGGTCCCTGGGACTCATACTCTTAATTTTCAGGGGTCCTGGACCACAAAATGAGGGTCCCACAGGGGTGGAAATAACCCATTGCCCGATGTCCGAGTCCAGTGTTTTTTTCTGTTGGGCAAGCAAATTTGTATATCACACTGTACCGGTGTCCAGTTGACTTTCCAATGTTAATTATGTTGTTTATTTAAAAAATCAACAAGAAAACGGACGGTATAGTGGAAAAATTATCAGGGCAAGTGACTTTACATGTGCCACTGTACCGGAGTACACTAGCAATTAAATTTAATTAGTAATACTATGTTGTAATATTGTTGTAATTCAGTTAGGGTTATTGTATTGTGTATCATAATCATCACATTGTTACAGTAATTACATTGCAAATGATACCATAACCCGGCTCAGTGATAGCTTATTGTTACATGATCAAAATTTGTACAAAAAGTATTTGGATTTTTCTGTGTCCCTGCATACTCGCTAATAAATTTTGATGCCTCCATCGTCAATTTTTATGCGTATAGGAAGCATGAATTCGCGTCCCGTAAATCCCTGCATTACCTCACCCCACAAAGGGATTGTTCCTTCTAAAACAAAATATAAGTTTTTCACATTAAAATAAAATCCAAGAAGTGTTGTCAGGAATGCATTAAAAATCGACCAAAGCAACATTGTTTTAAAATAGTTTTGCTTGGGCAGATACAGGTTTATCGTACAGCTAAGATTGTACCATCCTCGTTAAATCTCCATTATTATTATGTTTTACAGATTAAAGATAGTATGCAGCAGAGAGGGTTCGGGTGATCCTGGCACAGTCAGGCTGGTAAGGCTCATCATCAGCTCAGGGCCCTCGCCCCCTCTACACGCAGCCCAGACAGCGAATGGGACTTCTCCCAGGAAACGCTGCCTAGTCGAACCCACCAAGAACTTTCCGGAGAATATGAAGGCTCCCCAACACTGCAGCCTTCTGCATTACCCAGAGTGTCAGAAGGGCTGTACTCCTGGTGGAGAACCCGGGCATTCTCCTGATCTGCGCCAAGAGATCAGGAGGTACCAAACCAAGGGCACCGAGAACAATGGGGAGCCTGGCAACAGTGTACTTGGGATGCAAGCGAGACATTTCAAAGGCGAGGTCCGCATATTTATCATGCTTTTCCTGAATCTTGCCAATCACATTGGTGTCAAAAGGGACAGAAAATTCAATGATATAAATAAATTCATTGGCTTTATTATTATTATTATTATTATAATTATAAAAAAATTAAAATAATAATAATAAGATTGTACCATCCTCGATAAATCTCCATTAGTACCCAGGATGCATCTACAGCTTGGCCCGACAGTTTTATTACCCTGGAAATTATCGAGTATGCAATTGTACATGATTCCTAATTCCTGCTTACTTGAAACAATAATGTCCTCAGATACTTAGTTTCTTTAACACAAGTGATGCAATAAAATATAATCTAACTTCAAATCGAGTATTTGAAACACTTTTTTAAAATACTGATCGCTGCTTTGGTGGTACTTTAAAATAGAAACTTACCCAACATATGTACTGTGTTATCATGTATGTAAAACCTTGATCTTGTAAAAGTGATTTATTACTTCATTTGTTATATGCAACTATGTCTGCTATTAAAATGATAAGAATATGTCTGTGTAGTGTCCTTTATTGAAATCAACTTTCTGTTATGAATTTAGCATCGTTGCAAAACAAAATTATATATATTGAAACAAATATAATCGCTGAGTTAACATTTATAGGGGGAAAAAAATCTGAAATTGCATTTTTTGTATTTTTACCACCTACCGACAGGAATATTGCTGTAAAAAATCTGTAAACCAAGCAGAGCTCCAGATAAGATTTAGATCATGTGGGTACTGTACCCACTGTATTTTTTTGGAGTGGGTATTATGAATGTTGAGTGGGTATTATATTTCCTGTTACCCACTGCTTTTAAATATGTGCGTATTTCAGTCATTTTACTCACCTAAGTATTATGTCATTGAGTAAGTTTACTAGGCAGGTATTGTCCTGCCTTATGTCATACCTAATCAAAACCAAAGTTAAATATAATGGAAATGATTTCATAAAACAATCACTCATCCTATACTAACAGTACAATTTGATAGCAATCGATGTCTTTATCATTATGCAAGCAATTTTTATAAATATATTTCGTACGCGTTTAGTTTTAAACTTTTTGCGTATCTAACATTTTAAATGCGTTATTGGTACGCAATAATTATTTTTCAATGTGTAATTGGAAATTTTCGATGCGTATTTTACCCGGATACGCAGCTTATCTGGGCCTCTGAACCAAGTAATAAAAACGTGTGGCCTTAGGCCTAAAAAAAAAAACCTTGTGGTTCCGATTTCCCGACCGACCCTAAATATTCCCGCCGAGCCTAACAATTTTACTCACCACATAATAAATTAAATTTATTTTCTGACACACGAGTAATGTAAAAATATTTTGCAAAAAAACCCCAAAACCCTACCTACCTACCCTAGTTCTGAAATGTAGGAAATCGGAACCATAACATTTATTTTTTTTGGCCTTATTATCATATTTAGTTTGCATATCTATTTAGATAAGATCTGTTTGACATCCAAGTGACGTGGTAACATTGATGCCTGAACTTGGGAAGAGGGACCCTTGTCAGAAGGAAGCCTGTGAAATTCAGAAATGTTTGCAAGGTATTTATGTTTGACCTACAATACACAGATTGTTCAAATTTGCACATGTGAAAATAACATTTACATTCATTAATATTAGAGGAGGTGTTCATAACACATCTTAATTCTTGAAGGAATATTCTTGATTGATTGCTTTGCTACTGTGTTTGAAGTGTAAAGTGGCCTTCAAACGGCAAACTGAAGTTTGACAACACATGTATTTAGTTTTAAAAGTTGTCAAACTCATTTTCACACGTCAAACACATGTTGTGAAACTTTCGTGTCATTTGAGCCCAATGTCTATCGGTGCAGTCACGTGACAATTTCGAGGACACTTCACATGTCAAACACGAGTTTGACAACACGGAAAGTTTGATGAAAAAGTTTGTGAGAATAGAGACCGATCCTATTTCTCGTCAACAGTTTTACAACTCTGAAATTGGTGTCGGTGGCGATTTGTTGAAAAGTTCACACTCTTAAACTCAAATTTCACATGGGTTGTCAAACTTTAGTTTGCCGTGTGAAGGCCGCTTAAGTCTGAAACAAGTTCATCCCAATAGGAACTCGTATGGTAAAGTCATTGACATGAGGTGAAATGGGAATTAATGTTTTGTTTGAGATTGTTGCCTTTATACAGCTAGTTGAATGCATGTATGTGTGTGTGACGTTTGTTATAGTATGGCAACCGTGAAGGTCCGGGTTAGACTGAACCTTCAGTAACCCATGCTTGTCGTAAGAGGCGACTAACGGGATCGGGTGGTCAGGCTCGCTGACTTGGTTGACACATGTCATTGGTTCCCAATTGTGCAGATCGATGCTCATGCTATTGATCACTGGATTGTCTGGTCCAGACTCGATTATTTACAGACCGCTGCCATATAGGTGGAACATTGCTGAGTGCGGCGTAAAACTAAACTCACTCACTCATTTATTATAGCAGGGCTCCAGATAACTTTTGGGGGTGTGAGTGTACATACACATCATATTGCAAGTGGAGGTGTACTGAGAATTTTGAAGGAGTACTGACATGTTTTTGTGTGAGCGAGTTGGTGATGTGGTTTGTCTGGACGATTCATCGATCACTGTTTCCAACCATGTATTTGTATTTGAAGATGCGTGAGAAATAACTGAGCGACTGTGTGATGCGCGAAATGTCAGGTCCGACTGGATATAAATAGGAACAGTGTAGTTTTTAGCCAATCGAAAAATAGTGATGCATATCGTTGCATGGCAACGCAAGTGATTCCTACTGTTTCCTTATGTGTCAAATCGTGTTTCGCAAAAGAAACTTGACAAGTATTTATCCGAAATAGATTTCCATTTGCACGATACGCACGGAAATTAAATGTTAGACGTACAAAGGTATTTATGTGCGTACACGATACGCTTGAAATCTTATATTATGTCGTACTTTATTGATTTTGAGGCGTACATTACGCCTGTACGCCCCTTATCTGTAGCCCTGTATAGTATGGATCAATTTGATACTACTCACTCAAACACACTGTTTAGACAGAACAGTCCTATTTTGATTCCCTTAATGCCGAGGGCCAGGCAGAGAAACAAGAAGTACTCTCTTTTGGTAGCAAGTGACTGGGAATCAGTCCGCCAGCCTTATGCTCTTCTGGCCAAAACATCATATATTGGAAAGGTTGATTTGTCACGTTTGTAGCTAAGTTCTTACATTTTCAATCACAAGTCACACGATCAACTTAACCTGCGTTTTTCCTTCAGCTAACAAGTACGTTGAGTCTGCGTGTGTGTCCGTGATCAATGCCATGCGGCGATGCTGTGAGAGGAATGCTGGGATGGAATCGGTGTGCTGCTCAGGATTTCAGAAGTCAAACTACCAGACAAACACAAAATGTGAAGGCTCCTGATCTTATAGCTGCCGCACTGGACATCCACAGCAGCTGAATATTTAGGTCATTTGTCTCCATGTACCAGGATGTTGATCTCTCTGTCTCCACCATACTTGGTTCAGTCGTTGTTTTAGTTTCACAAGGATGAATAAAGACATTGTGTGTGTCTTTGAGGTTCTGTTGAAAGTCTTTTACCGCACCAGATCCATCTTGTGAAGATATGGGTAAGAATTAGTCTTTATCAACCCATCCTTGTCGTAAGAGGTGACTAACAGGATTGGGTGTCATCGTATCACAACTGTGTACAGGGCTCCAGATAAGGGCTGTATCGGTGTATGTACGGATAAAAAATATGCACGATACGATAGGAAATAATTTTAAAAACGTAGCAGATACGCACCACAGCAATGGTGTACGAATCATTTACAGACGTATTTATATGAAAAGGTATTGTTTTATTGTTTATTGACCTGTTTACACAAGAGTAGCAATGTTGTGGTGCATGTACCAAACGAAACACACCAATACTGATTACTAATTTCCATTCAGTACTCTAAATGTACTCTTAAGTTTTTCCAGTACTCCTATATTGAAAAATTATCTGGAGCCCTGTGTGTAGATCAATGCTTATGTCAATCATTGGATGGTATGGTCCAGATTTGATTATTTAAAGACCACCATCATATAGCTGGAATATTGTTGAGTGTTGCATTAAACAACAAAAAAGAAGCAAACACCAGACGCACGATGGGGAGTGAGTGAGTTTGGTTTTACACAAGTCTTGGCACTATTCCAGCAATAACACAGTGAGGGACACCAGAAATGGGCTTCACATGTTGTACCCATGCAGGGAATAGAACCCAGGTCTGTGGTGTGACAAGTGAACGTTTTACCACTTGGTTGCCTTACCACGCACTAGTTGGGATCAGAACAGTGTGTATAATTAAGTTGGGCGTCATTAATGCTGAGGAGACCAATATTCTAAGCATCCATGCCATTAACCATTCCCAGGAATCCATTTAAAATCTGTATGAAACCAGGAACAAGTAGTGTAGTATGTTGCACTCCATATCCAGTCTTGTTGCCATGGTTTCTTTTCTTTCAACCTTGGTTGGAATGGCCAACTTATGCCACTATCATGGAATAAGAATTCCACAGATGTTCAAGATAAATCCTAGCCTAAGCTATCAAGGACACAGCTGTTAGACAAACCTTTCAGTAGGACAAAGTTATGTCTAGAACTATTATGATAGGGGTCTTGGGTCCGAGTGATTGTTCCGGTGAAACCCTTTCTAACTGGCGTGCTGGTCTGCTGGCACTGATGGTGTTGACATGTTGCTTGGCATTCGTGACCAACTCGTGTTATTCCGGGACAAGCCGAATAGCGACTCGTGCCCCTCTGGAAGGATTTCATATTGGCGCATGAACATCAGAACTACTTTAAACAAGAACGATAACGCTTTCCCTGTTTGATTCCAATGTTTTTAAAAATCACCGAAGCACATATTTGTTAAAAACATATTCTAATGTAATTACTACCAGCTGTTCACCTTATATTTGCAATTATGTTAATTTTCTTAATAGGGTTTAATTATCACAAATGGGAATTGTTTTATTGAATATACAAAAAAAATAATTCAGCTACATTAAATCCCAAAGCAGATAGTCAAAAATGACTTTAAAATATTTCTCAAACTGAACACTCGTGTAACCTTGCTGTCACACCCCTGGTGGAGAATTTCAAATGAATTCGCTGAAAAAAATATGAATGACCAAAAAACAGTCAGACTGAAATATCCCCAGAGCTATGAAATATAAGCCCAATGTTAAAGATTAGGGTTGATTAGTTACATACAAATACGATATTATTGTTTTAAAACTCTTAGCGATTATAATTTACATTTCTTAAAATTGGTCGAAGTGCACGTACAATCTCCATAACAAGCCCGCAAGATCGTCAGAAATACCCTCAGTTGGACCCATGAGAGCAGTTATGTCAACAAATGCACGTGCGTGTATTTGAATCTCTCACCGTCAATCGCATGATTCTTATCAAAAACTTCATACAAGGCAGCAAAATCCTTTTAGCTACGTTCTTTGTACTTTCAATATGACGATATATATTTTTCATGATTCTTTAAACAATGACATAATGCCATAAACAATTTAAGTACTCGGGACTATTTTTATCAAAGCACCGCGCTCATTTACGCGCGTTCTGATTGGTTTGTCGTATTTTTGCACATAACAAGTATCGAGTGGGGGACGAGTCTTCTTGGAGGTTACGGAAAGGGGCGAGCGGTGACAAATGGTTGCTTGGATGATTATGGTGTTACAATAGATGGCTTAATGACCCTAATTTGACGCTTTTGTACAATATATTTAATGTAGGTGATGACATGTTTACTTTATCAAAGCAGTTCATTAAATCGTCTAGACATAACTTTGTCTTACTGAAAGGTTTGTCTAACAGCTGAGTCCTTGATATCTTAGGCTGGGATTTATCTTGAACATCTGTGAAATTGTACAGTCGTAACTTATACCTTTTTTAATAGTATGTCTGTGAGATGAGTTTTACTACTTTTGACTGGAGTCTTCCTCTAAGCTATTACTGATACATGATGAAACTAATATTCTAGATTTATATTTTCCTTATATCTGAATGCTAATATATCGCTTGTAGTGGTTATAATTAGCGCCAGGCTCTTGATCCAGCGAGGTTGAGGTGCCAGGATCGAGCCTACCTGTCACCGGGAGTAAAAACCTTGGAGTCAACTTTGTGTGCAGACTCTTTTAGTGTTGTCACAACCCCTAGTGTACAGTACACAACCCTGTGCACTTAAAAGAACCCTCGAATCCGTTGGTATATGACCAGATGGTGGCCACATGAATACGTGCAAACACCTAGTTGCAGGTACAGCAACGTGCAGTAAACTTGGACAAAATACTGTGACTATGTGTCCCAGTCCACCCTGCTGTGACTCGGTACCTCGTTAGGATGAGAAAGTGGCAGCAAGAGTTGTATACTCCCCAGGGAGTTGAGATTGACATCCAATGATCGAGGGAAAAAAAATACCAGCGCCTTGAGCATGCACTAGTTGCGTGGATATGTGCGCTATATAAATATCCTATAATAGAAATAATGTAAGGCGAGACATATTCCTCTCATGTTTACGGGTAAGTTTCCCAAAGTACAAAAACTTATTAAATTAATCCAAACTCAGCTTTATGATGACTGTATTATTTTATGGATCTTTATGGACCCGCTTGTATTTTTATATATTTACTCTACACTTGTAATATTTAAAAACAACAACAAAAATTCAGAATTGAACCTCTGGTGTTTTATTCAAGTATGCTTGTTCCTCGGAGAAACCATCAAACATCGATTTGTTCCTCAGAGAAACCATCAAGTATGGGTTTGTTTCTAACAAACCAAGGGCTAAAATAAGCAGACAATACACAAACATTACCCGCTTAAAGATTATATAGATGGAACCACACTGGTGAAACTAGGAACCATGGGTATGTTCTGCCAACAAATCAAGGGACATAATTAGCAAATCCTTGCACACAAAGGGATGCAACTCTGCATAGGAGTTTCTGTGACTTAGACTACAAGGCCAACAGCAACCCTTGTTATATTGCTGTATAACTGATTGTTCAAAAATGTAAGAGTAATTGTTTTGTGCTGTTAAGATTCAGTAGAAGCTCATAACATTGTCTTATGATAATAATTGGTTGTAAGGAATGTATTGCTGATACTACATTTTGATGCTTGTGGAGTCCACTGTTGCCAGGAATCTTCCAGAACAGCTATAGGTTATTCCAGCATGGCAGAGAAGTTCTGATGGGTATAGAAACTATAAAAGTTGGCAAGTGGCTCTCACATCTCACATTACAAGACCAGCAACTGTGCGAAGATAATACTTTTACCATGTCTACCCTGGATATCCAGCCTAGTCCTAATATGGATGCTTGATCACTGTAGGTTGATATTATTGTCGCTGAATTTATTGCTCGTATGTTATAATGCCATTGAATTGTGCACTATGTGTCATTATTACATTTTACAGTGTAGGAAACTACTGCCCGCCCAAATGCCCGAGACGTGTTAATTCTGGGGAGGGTTGACAAAAAAATTAATCTTACCAGCCCGACAGTCGGGCTCATATTTTATGTGTAATCATGAGAATCTTATCTGTGAGACTGCTTTTGTAACAAAAACACTTAAGATGTATTAGTCGAGATTCGTGTCAAATTGATTCAAAGATATTTAATAGTTTTTTAATTATTGCTGAGCTGAAATGTGAAATTAAAGTTGGTCTGGCAATTTTTGGGAAGGGCTGGTCCTGTCCTGGTACCATTCCTGGTGTCTGGTAGAATTTGCTGTTAAGTTTCCTACACTGCATTTTGTTATTAAATATTGCAGTAATTTGTATTAATTCGGGAATCTAGTAAATATTTTGTAGCAATAGTTCAGAGACAGAAGAAATTTAAGATTATTCGTAACATCATATTGGAAATTTTGGAGTCATACCCATGATCATATATTTCTGTAATGCCAAGGCGCCCCAACTCTCCAATGAGAATTGCAGAGCCTTTGATGAAGTAGTACACTGTACAGGTCTAGGTCAAAAGCCTCCTGGGACAAAAGCCCCTCAAAAAATGACCAAAAGCCCCTCACTTTACGTATTAATGGGAGACTATGATTAAAGACAAGAAATGATTAACAACATGATACATTTTATTGCTTGATAACATAATGACCCTAAATACATTCCACGATTCAGGGACCGCCTCCGTGGTGTAGTAGTTAGAGCGTCCACCCGGAGAGCGGAAGGTCGCGGGTTCGATCCCCGACCGCGTCATACCAAAAGACGTTAAAATATGGTACTTGTTGGTCCCTGCCTGGCGCCCGGCATTAAAGAGTACAACAAGGACTGGTCGGCTCGGAGTCAGTAATAATGTGTCTGAGTGGGATATTCATGCTTCACTGCGGCATGGTATCTCAGTGGGCTAGCACTGTAAAACCAGCTTAAGTCTGGGCTAGTACAAGCAGCCGCACATACACATACACACACATTCACGTCGTCATATGAGCGAAATATTCTCAAGCACGACGTTAAACCCAATTTCACCTCACCTCTACTCCACGATTCAGGAGGGA